ATGCCTGCCTTGTAAACACCCGCACAGCATTTAGGAACTGGAAGGAGAGGGATTCTCTGGTACAAAGAGGGTTTTGGTTGGCTTAGGGACTATGGATTTTAACCCATCATTGTATCAATTCAAAACCTGAACCAGTGTTTTATGAAACATGGCCTGATTACCCAGCATTGCTGGATTCTGTGCTGAACAGTTTGGAAGTTAAAAGATGAATCTTAATTTTCAAGAAAACCTTTTCAAGTTAATAAGGTTGCCAGATGTTTCCTTTTCCATATATGTGTGTGTGTGTGTGTGTGTGTGTGTGTGTGTGTGCGTGTTTGTATAGCATGCTCGGTTAAATTTGAATTTCAGATAAACAGAAAATAATTTTTTTGCTTTTGGCCATATCTGCCATCTCCCAGTAATTCACCAAATGACAAACACAAAGAAAAAGAGGAAAGGCATCCACTGTATGTTCTCTGGGCCTTTTAGAAAACAGGGTTGTGCCTTTGGCCACAAGCATGCGAACCTACAAGAAAGGTGATATTATGGACGTCAAGGGAGCAGGCAGTGTTCATGAAGGAATGCCCCTCCAACGCTTGAGTGGCAGAACCAGAAGGGTCTACAGTGTCACCCAGCGTGCAGTGGGCATCCTTGTAATATACAAAGCACTCTAAGAGCCCAGATAGCTTCCTGAAACGTGTGAAGGAAGTGATCAGAAAAAGGAGGAAGCCAAAGAGACCGGTACCCGGGTCAGCTGGAGCGCCAGCCTGCACCGCCCAGAGCAGCACAGTGTGAGAACCAATGGCAAGGAGCCTGAGCTGCTTGGGCCCTTTCCCTGTGAACTCGCAGCATGAGCAGTGTAAGAAAATAAAAGACCTCTGAACTGTTAAAAAGTAATAATAAGAATTTTTGTGTGTAATTATGTCCCATGCATTATTTGGGACATACTTACATTGAAAGATAATTTGCTGTTCACCTGAAATTAAAATTTAACTGGGTATCCTCTATTTTATCTAGCAGTTAGACAAGCTAATAAAGTAGCATCTTTTCAGGGTGACCTTGAACATGTGCTTAACAAGCATTGCACACTTAAATATGGTAAAGTGATTTTTTTCACTGGTATTTGAGAATTTCTGTGTGGTATTGAAATTCAAATAGAGCCAGTGAGTTAAATTGCAGTTCACCAATACAACTTAAAGAAAGAATACTTATGTTACTGTCTTCTAACCACAGATAGAGCAAAATGAACCTTTTATTATTATGTTCACTCAAGATAATAGGCGACTCTTGTGTACAAGTTCAGATTATTTATGGTAAATTTATAAATACTCTTGACCATTTGTCTATTAGAAGATAATCATTTTGCATCTGAAGTTAAAATGCATCATTTCTCTCTGAATGCATATTCAATACTGGAATCTCTCACAGTTTATTTTTTATTTAGTTTACTTGAGGTGTTTAAGCTGAATGTCAACATTTTGGACAAAAACAACTGGGATGTTATTTGTAAGAGAGGCCTTTTATACTATGAAGCAAGGGTACTAAGGCCAAATGTTTTAAGAACAATTTCTGGTGGATCCTGTGGTAGAATCTGGTGTCTTCATTAGAAAAACCAAATTGTAACTGATTGCCTTTGCTTCTTACATCATCCGGGGTGGGTAAATCGGTGGGTCTCAACCTGGCTGCATTTTAGAAAAGGTGGAGAGATTTTTTAAATACTCCTTCCTTAGCCTTTCTCCCTAAGTGGAGGCCTGGAAAGAGTATATTTAAAAGCTCACAAAAATTATTCTAACAAGCAGTCAGGGCTAAGAACCACAAAGCTAAATAGCCTGTACTTCATGAGGAAACTGATCAGCTTCCCTCTTTTCTCTACCTCCAGTCCCTTATAAATATTTATTGAGCGCATGAGTGAACAAATATAAGCCCAATATTATGTACTGATTTCTACTTTCATTTGCCTGTGAATAATTTACCTTTGGCTGTAAATATACTTTAGTCTTAAATATACAAAATAGGCAGAATCTGGCAATGAACTTGGGCCCTACCCTACCTTTGCCAGTATATCAAGAGAAGACAAGTTCGTGGGAGCACAGTGCTGATGGAAGCCGCTGTCGCTGGAAAGTCTCATTCTGTTCCTGGTGTTAGAAGCATCCCCTTGCACATCTGGGTTTTCCTTGAGTTTCCAATTCCTTGAAATCTAAATTTTTTCAACAAAGTTAAATTCGTTGAAATATTGACAATTTACCTTTATTTATCTCCTGAATATAGATTTAGGGGTCTTTAAAAAATTGTATCTTTCACAATTTAGTGTTTGAAAATAGCACTGTGCCTGTACTAGTTAGAATAGGTGAGTCCATTTACCACTTTAAATCTGGGGGAAGAGAACAACACCCAGTTTTAATATTTTCCCTGTGAAAGGATGAACCCCTGAACCCTGGAATGCCATCTGATTTGTTGTCCATCTGTTTTACCTTCACTATAGAAAGGTGATACTTTCAGCCCTAATTAACTACTTGTCCAGAGCTAACTTTCCTTTGAAAACTTCCTGGGCAGTAAATAGAAGACAGGAATATTCATTTCCTTCTGGCTCAGAATTGGTCTGCTCCTGGCTCTCACAGGAGTGGTGTCGCCTCTGTGGGCCTCTGTGATTTATGGCCAGGCCCACCTGCCACCAGTCCTTTCATCCTTCCCCTTGACTTCCTTTGCTCGAGCTTTGGCCCCAGGGAGCTTTTGCTCTGAGACCTAGGTGGTGATCACAGCCTTACCGATAAGTCTCAGAGAAGCTGCAGACCGTTCTGATGGTGGCCGCTTGCACAGTTCTTCTAATGGCCCCCTTGTATAGAATTGCAAGAGGTTTTGAACACCTCAGGAGGAAGGCACTTTGTAAACATAAGGTATTTTTTCTTAGTTGTTTATTTGTGATGATGATTAACAATATTTTAAAAAATGGGAGGAGCAGAGCAATGGTTTGATTATTTCTTCGGACTGAGACCTGCGTTTTAGGCCAGTGTCTTTTCATACGGTAAAATATTAAATCAGTGTTTTCTATAAAATAAAACTTTAAATGTTAGGGCTTTCAACCTATGGTATTTAATGAAATGAATGTTTTTTCTTACTTGCTTAACTTTCTGTTTGGAACTGGATTTGCTGCAAAATCTGGTGCTACAGTATTTAGAAATAGAACTGTTTTTGGATAAAATTCTCTTGCTTTGTAAATGGGGCCATCTTTGACCCACACACAGAGGAAATGCCTTTTCTTAGCCAGAAGACAAAGGGCATTCTGTACTGCTGGCTTTATTAAGGGAAAACATTACTAATTCTGAAAGTAAAGACTAAACCAACTGGTACTGTATGAGTATGTTCAGATTTACTATGAATTAACACGAGACTCCTTTTTTCTGAGAACGGTGCCATCGCTTTTCCAATTCCTGCACAACAGATGTGCGCAATGGGCAAACTTATACCATTGAAGACGGGGATACTGTCTTCATAGTCTGCTAAGGTTTGAGTTGTACATTCATTTTGAGGTTGATAGATGAAGTAGGGTTCTCGGTTTTATGACTTCTGGATCTAATCATTTTGAGAAAAGAATACATTTCTAAATCAAAATATACATTTCTAAAATGCCCTTGAAATTTTAAAATTTAAGCCAAAAATGGAGACTCAAGTGAACTGGTATAGGCATTACTGTCATATAGTTTCAGACCTGAACCGTAACATCTTTTATAAAGAATCTGACTGTATGTTTACACAGGAAACCATGGCCATGTGGATAAAGAAGTTATAGTAAGTATAATTTTATACGGCTGTTTCAGAGCTTCATCCTCAAACAAAATATATCCTTCTGTGATAGACTTAGAAGCCAGTTCTCTTTCTGCCGATTCACGTAGAATGCACTAAGGAAAGCAAGGGCGTGGTGTTTTGCCTACTGAGAGTGCAATTGTGGCAACGCTTCATAAAGTGCTTCTGTTTAGTCTCAGAGGGATAGGCAAGCAGAGAATCAGGTCTCAAATTTGCTTCAGGGGTTCAGAGTATCATAAAGGGAACACAAACTGGGAAGGCCAGCACTAAACACGTAGAAGTTTTGTATCTCTATTTACAAGGTGGCATTGTAAGGCCTCATAGTCACTGTATTGCAGTATTTGCCTTACACTCTGGAAAATGTCTAGGGTCACTTTGGAATGTGTGACTTAGGAAGAATTTAGTGTTATCTTCTACTTTTGCTTCTATTCTCTGACCCCTGGGTGTTTTCCTCTCCTCTTTATTCACAGCCGAGGTTTCAATTACTTTTTAAGTCAGTCATTGTAAGGAAGTTCTTATCTGCACAGTACAAGTTGCGGTGTCCCTGAGCTGCCTGCTATACCTTCCTCTTGCTGCTTGATCAGCTTTGCGTTTTTACTGTCTCACTCAGCCTCTGAATTAGATGCTCTCCTTGGAATCAGATTCTCCAATTGCTGAAGCTCTGAAGTTTACCAGATAGCTAGAATGTTTCAGATGACCAGGGTATCAGCTCGAGCGCCTAATGTGCCTCTGACATGGGAACAAAATTTCAGTAATTTCCAAAGCTTGCCTGAGAAATGCCTTGAGCAAATGGGACTGCCACAGTACTCGAGGCACATGCCTGCTTTGCATTATCTGGTTCTCTGCCCAGTGACTTTGCAGGGCTATCTTAGGAATTTGGTTGGCATTTCTTTTGTTCTTTGTTGACCATCAACCAACTACCGTTGCTTCCCTGGCTTTTGTAACACGGTGGCAGGAAATAGGGAAGGAAGGAAGGAGGGGTGGAGGTCGACGCCAGTGCTCAAGGAAGTAGGTTGTGTTTTGAGAATACAGAAATGTGGTCCCTTGTCTTTGCTTCCATTTACACCCCTCATCCTAGTCACTAACATATGTTTCTGTGTTCATAGGATATCGAGTGTTTGTGTATACTTGTCTGTGTGGTCCCCGGGAAATGTGCACTAACGTCTGCTTAGGTATGAAGGTAATTTCTATTCTTCTATTTTCTGATTTCTGAACTTCAGGAGAAGGTAAAGCTTGATGCTGAAAGGGAAAAACTAGAGAGGCTTCAGGAGCTTTACTCCGAGCAGAAGACGCAGCTGGACAATTGTCCTGAGTCCATGAGAGAACAGTTACAGCAACAACTGAAGAGGGTCAGTAGCAAACAGGAATGTGTCAGTTGTTTTTTTGCTTTCTTTTTTTTTTCAATTTAATTCCACTTACCTCTCTGACTTCCTTCTTCACATACCATAAATTTGCTTAAGTTCTGATCACTAGATACTTTGTAAATAGAATATGCATGCTGACAGTATATATTATTTCATGCTAATCAGTTAAAGAATTCCTCGTTAGAATCCCTCACCTAACTGATAAATGTAAAAACATTTCTGGAGTCATTCTTTGTAATCAAAGAGAGCGATTCCTGACATGTAACGGTCACCGAGACTGTAGCATTTCATCAGCTGACATCTTTGCCCTACTCTCTGCTGCATCGTGAGTACTGTTTCCCCTTGAATGTTTTCTTTTTAGCTTGATGTTATACTCCCATTCAAAAACTATCCTATTTTCTGATTTATTCCCCACCACTGCTTATTGTATTGTTTTTCTTTTTCTTTCTGCTTCTTAGTGACACTGAACTCAGTAGCACAAGCACAACGGTCAAACGTCCAAGATGCAGGGCAGTACCAACGCCCTCAACATCTTCTCATAGGATGTTCATGACTTTTAAGAACTTAGAGCAGTATAGACCTTCTAGTTGAACTTTGTCAGGTTGTTTGCTGATCCTGATGCCAGCAGTGTCTAAGATGCACACGTTCTGAAACCAAGACTTCCTACATGGGTGGTTTCACAGTTCCTGGCAAGGCCACTCATGATGTCATAGACAACAGGTCACTTCCTCTGAACAGCAGCCCGAATAAATTGTGACCCTGGGAGACAGTCTTGGACTTTTAAAGGAGTCACCTAATAGTAGTTGGTCCTGAGTGACTGACAGTTTATGATTGCACATGGGTAGGAAAGAAGGCTAGTTTCACTGATGTGATTATGTTTGTGCCAAGTGGAAAAATAAGTTAAGATAGCCCACTCTTGAAAGTGTTTAAGAGGACCTTTAATACAACAATATTTGATGCCTTGAGTATCAGTAGGTTATGAAAAATTAGTTAAAACTTTTCAATATATTACAGAGGTCGAAAGCATCTTAATAAAGATGACCAAATACAGACAAATTAAACTGCAGCACATCAGTTTTAATATTTGTTCTTTCTTACAATCGTGAATCAAAGAAACTTCCAGCCGTGTTTCTGCCCCTTCACTCATTTCCTTGCGTGCAGCTAAGTTTGCTGTGGGAGGGATGAGACTTCTCACTCCTCAGTGTCACTGTTCTCTGAAAGTGTGGTAAAATGATCAGGAAAAGGATGGTATTTGTAAAATTATTTTAGTTTCTCATTTGTTTGTGTTTATGCCAGTTCACAAAAGAGATTGGGAAACTGCGCATTTATAGTTATTTAATGTCATTCACTCTCCTGATTACTAAAGTTTTACGCAGTTGTAATCCTTTATTTTGAGTCAGTAACATAGGTATGTATTTTGTTCTTTCCTTTCTTTAGTTATGCAGTTAATTTTTGTATTCTTTATAAACATTGCTTCGAATAAAAACTGGTAGATTCTATTAATAACCTGAGCTCAGGCTGATGTAATTGCTGTTTGCTTAATCTAGCTTCTAGGAGATATAACTCATTAATTTGTATATGTTCCAAGCATTTGACTATAAAGGAGGAAAGAAAATGGTGCAGACAGTCTGTTCCACTAACTGAAGGTGAAGAGTTCTATCTCTTCCTCCCCAAGTATAATCTTGTTATCATAAAACCCCTTTTCTTAGGAGACAGAAGCTACCTTGTGGTAGCTTCTGTTCACTAGATATTATGAAGTCTACTAATTCTGTTTTTCAGGAATGATGACCAGAGTCAGTCTTCTCCAATCCCTTGGTTTAATCAGTAAAAAGTTCACTTATTTCATTGGAAGTCCATTCATAGTAGGAACTTCCTATGTTATCACAACTTATTTCCCTTCAGACTTAAGACACTTCAGAATACCACTTTGCTACAAAGTTTCCCCAAGGCATTTACTTTAACTCGATTCAATAAAGTGGGTTTTACTACAACAAACTTTATTATGAAGCAAGTTATACAAAATAAAGGAATAGGGAGAACGTCGTTTTCCTAAACTGTATATTGTCTCAGACACTTAAGGTGAAACTAAAATGACTTGGAATGTCAGCACTGTGGGCTAACGACTGGGCTTCTACCTCTAAATCATTGCTTTAAGAGTCACAATACAGTTTACATCTGATGCTGTTTCATCGAATTCTTTTCTGGGGTAGGAGTAGCATGGAAAGGAAAGATGAAGTTAAATGAGTCTCTCATTTGCTGGGATAAGTTCCACTATTAAATGCAGGCAACACCTGGCAAAAACATTCTTCTTGTGCTTTTGATATTTACTCAGCTGTCTGGTTGATTTCAGTCTCTTGATTTAAAAAAAATTATTCAGTGATACCTCTGATTAGGAAACCTTTGTTCTCACTGACAGTACAAGCAGCTTATAATACAATCTTGCACAACTCATTCAGCCTCCATGGGCCTCAACATCCTCATATATAAAATTAGGAATTTCTACTAGATGGGCCATTGTACCATTGTCTTTCCAAACTCCAAAAGTGTGCAGTTAAAGTGTTTGACTATAGCACAAGATGGAGGATGTTGACAAACCCTGAGGCCCATTAAAATGTGTTTTCAGAGTTGGTCTTGAGCTGTTAGATTAGTACTCTAATTCCTCCTGGCATTACACATCTGTTCTCTTATTTCTGTAAGCATAGAAACATCAAGATCTGAGTGTAAACTCTGCTATATAAATTCTCAAAAAAAGTTATTGGAAAGAAAAAAAGGAATTTGCATTAAATTTTCTTTACTGAGCTGTTTTATAGCTTTTCACACCTGGTCTTTAAGCTTGCCAGCTGATAGAGGTTTGTAATGTTCCTTTAGTAATGAGTTGGAGCTCAAATTTTCATTCAACTTATCATACACTTGACTTTGAGCTCCCTGCACATATTATTCTGTGCTCAGTGAAACCTCCTGCCCCCAAATTCCATCTCCTGAATTTTTATTGTCTAATATCTTTTAAAAGTCTCCCCCAAGTTGTTTTTCTTTCACGGTGTAAGTTTACATACATACAATTCAGTAGTTTAGATAACTTGGTCAGATGATTACACTTGTGGAATCCAAGTGCTGAGTTTAGCTTTGGTTTTCAAATTTCCTTCCTAGTGTGCTATTATTTTCATGCAGTAGCTTAAACATTTACTACAAATAAGTGACTCCATGACCTTCAAGCGGTTAAAATAACATGTTGCATGTTAACCAGATGTGGAGTGGGTGACCAACCAGCATAGTGTATATATCGTGAGCCATCTATCCACTTTGAATATAGATTTTTTATAAACTAAAAAAGGAAGTTTATTTAATTTATCTCAGTAACTTCTAGACACAAACAAACCAAGCTTAATGGAGAGACCTTAAAACTGAGTGTACATGCCTGTAGGAATAAATATATTATCTAACACTGCTTCAAGACTACAGGTATTTTGTTTTGAGAGATAATACTTGAGTTATCTCAAAATTCCTTTAGTAGTGACTAGATTTAGTCTGAATTTTTTTAGTTTCTTTAGAAATTGTAAGCATGAAATAAATATCTAAGAAACTTGAAATGTCAGCCAATAACCTGAAACCAAAACCACATTTTGTTTGGCCAATTAAAATGTAAAGAAGTTTTAAATGATGAATTTTTTAAATTGTTTTTCCTGCTCTCAAGTTTTGAGAACACATGGTCTGTGTTGATGTAATAACCTCGTTGCTATAGTGTTGGTTTTAACTACATGGTTACATGGTTGCTAATAGCTCTTCCGTGAATCATTTCCAGAATAACATTCATTTCATACAACAAATATATTCCACTTGATTAAAATTTTTAATTTTTCATCACTCACATAAAAGCCAAGTGAATGGAGCTAAATGCTGAGACAGATCTAATTTATCATATGTTTATTTTTCTAAATCTGTTTGATGTTTTGATTGAAAAACATATGTCCTGGCTCTTTTACTCATGTAGAATTACAAGCCATGTAGTTCAGCGGGCTCTTCCTTTTGGCCACAGCTTATTTATAAATTATATATATTTTAAAAATCTATATATACTACATTTAGAGCTCTGTCAAAGTCTCCAAAAGTAAGGGGCAGGTGGTTTTTTTTTAATAAAGTAGATTAGAGAATAATTCACACAACATGAACCAGCTTTGCACAGATGCAGATCATCCTTATCCTGAAACATTTCATAGGTTGGAGAATGACTGTTCTAGACCATGTGATTTTTATGGTTTTAATCTTTCTTAACTGCCCTAGGATTTTCCACAAAGTAGTGGTATGTAATCTTTTGAGTCACTCTTTGTGCCTGATGAAAGCTGTTGTTCTGTTCTTTCCACTATAAAGGTTTTTCATCAATTTTAAGGGATTTACAGAAACCTGGTTTAAGAACCCCAGTCTCCAAATATTGTTTATTATATTTATCATCAATAAAATTATGTGAGCATGCATCTCTATATGTATTATATACAGCATATATATTTATGCATGCTCAAAAATGTATATTTATTTTAAATCATGTACATATACTATTCTATAGATGTCCATTGTAAAACATTTGTTTAGAAATTATAAAAGAAGACTTCTGGGCAAGATGGAGGTGTAGGTAAATGTTGCTCACCTACCTCCTCACACAACCACAGCAAAATTATAGCTAAACTACAGAACAAATACCATTCAGAACCATCAGAAAATCAAGCTATATGAAAGTCTGACAACTGAGGAGTTAAACAAGCCATTCATCCAGATGTGTAGAAGTGACGGGGGGTCAGAGACATGAAGACGCAGAGCAGTCTGGTCCCAAATCCATATGCGATGGATATAAGACAGAGGGATACCTCAGGAGTGAGGGGTCCCAGACCCACATCAGACCACCCAGCCCAGGATTCTAGTGCCAGGAAGATAACTCCCCATAACTTCTGGCTGTAAGAATCTATAGGGGTTGGGCCAATGGAAGAAACTGCAGGACTCTCGGGTAGCTCCTCCTAAAGGGCCTCGCACCACACATGGACTTACTCAGACTGACTCCCTCTGAGCTCCCGCACTGGGGAAGCACCTGGAAGGGGAGTGGTAGCACGCCAGGAGGAAGTGAATCATCTGGCATCAGAGCAAGAGCTGGCGGACAGCTTCCTGCCAGACAGAACTGGAGACAGTGGCTGGTAAACCTTTTGTGAGCCCTCCCCGCCACACAGCACAGTGTGGCAGCACCATATCTGAATCCCTGTCAACCTGGCTCACAGGGTAAGCCCTGCCCTGACTGTTACATAAGGGTCTGTCCCATCCTACTTATGGGCACACCTGAGCTGGTAACAGTGGCTTTTCCATATGAAGTGCTGGGCTGGGCACAGGCTTCAGACCTTCCTTAATCTGCTCAAACAAGCAATGGCTGAGCCCACCCCCCCTACCTCTTGCTGAGTGGCCCCAGGCCCAGCATTAGCAGCAGCAATCTGCAGATCATTTTATAGTTTATGCCAAGGAACCCCCGACAGAACACCGGTGGAGGCTGACCTTGGTCTGCACCACTCAGGAAACCCCGGAGCCTGCACACCCAGTGGGCAGTTATAAACCACGGCAAAGCTCCACCCAACCACCTCTCACAAGCCTGTGGCTTGTGAAGGTGGTTAACCTTCCCTCCCATTAACCTGTTGAGAGCAATCAAGACTCATCTACAAGAGGAGGCAGTACTCAGCCCATATGGAGGGCACACCTCGAATATCCAGCTTGGGGGATAGAGGAGGCTGAGCCACTGGACCCTACAGGAAACCTGCTACAATAGGCTATGCCAGCAAGACACAGAGTCAAAGAGGCCTTGCCTAATATATAGAAAAAAACCACAGGGAGGTTGTCAAAATAAGGAAACAAAGAAATATGGACCAAATAAAAGAACAGATCAAAACTCCAGAAAAAGAACTAAACAAAATGGAGATAAGCAATCTAATCCGATGCAGAGTTCAAAACACTGGTTATAAGGATGCTCAGGGAACTAAGTGGGTACTTCAACAGCATAAAAAAGACGTGGGCAGAAATGAAGTTTACACTAATCGAAATAAGGAAAATGTACAGGAATCAACAGTGGAATGGATGAAGCCAAGAATTAAATCAATGATTTGAAATATAAGGAAGAAAAAGACACCCAATCAGTACAGCAAGAAGAAAAAAGAACCAAAAAAATTGAGGATAATGTAAGAATTCCCTGGTACAACTTCAAATATTCCAACATTTGCATCATAGGGGTACCAGCAGAAGAAGAGAAAGAGCAAGAAATTGGAAACCTATTTGAAAAAAAATTAAAGAAAACTTCCCTAATTTGGTGAAGGAAATAAACATCCAAGTCCAGGAAGCTCAAGTCCACAGAGGGGCTCAAACAAGATGTATGTAAAGAGGTCCACACTAAGACACATCATAATGAAAATGCCAAAGGTTAAAGATAAAGAGAGAATCTTAAAAGCTGCAAGAGAAAGCAAAGAGTTACCTACAAAGGAGTGCCCATAAGACCGTAAGTTGATTTCTCAAAAGAAACTTTGCAGGCTAGAAAGGACTGGCAAGAAGTATTCAAAGTGATGAAAAGCAAGGACCTACAACCTACATTACTCTACCCAGCAAAGCTATCATTTAGAATGTAAGCGCAGATAACGTACTTCCCAAGAAAAGGTAAAAGCTAAAGGAATTCATCATCACCAAACCATTATTATGTGAAATGTTAAAGGAACTTATTTAAGAAAAAGATCAAAAGTATTAACACTAAAATGGCAATAAATACACAATTATCAACAACTGAATTTAGAAAACAGACTAAGCAAACAAGTGGAACAGAAACAGAATCATAGATATAGAGAACATTGGGATGGTCACCTTTTGGAGGGGAGCTCTGGGAGAATGGGGGAAAAGGTGAAGGGATAAAGCAATACAAACTGGTAGTTACGGAATAAGCAGGGGGATGTTAAGAGCAAGTATAAAAAATGGAAAAGCCAAAGAACTTGTATGCATGATCCATGGACATGAACAATGGAGGGGGATTGCCAGAGGAAGTGTGTTCTGCTGGGTGAAGGGGGACAAAGGGTGAAAAATTGGACAACTGTAATATAATGATCAATAAAGAATGCATAAATTATGGAAGAAAGAAAACTAAAATTAACTGTAAAGAAGCTATAGTATTTTTACATCTTAGTGGATTGTATTGCATGCCATTTGCGGTACCTCTCTCCCTCCAAGGCACCTCTGATGTGTTATGTATGCCAACTTCTTTCTTACAGTCGACAACTTTTATACTGAACTCTCATTTTATTTGAAAATTTGTGGAAAAATAATAATTTTCTCAAAAGACTATGCCATATCTTTGGTCTGCAGATAACATTTAGGTTATCTACTAAATTCTTTTTATACTTTGTGATCTATTTTAAAGTCCCCTAGTAGATTTAAAACAAGAATTTCCATATCCACAAAGCAGTCTGAGATCAATGGTGAAATAAATGTGTCCCCCACCTCCCGCACCGCAGTCCCTTTCAATTCCAACAACAGTCTCTGCACTGAAGGTTAATTCCAAAAGAGAGGATCACCCTGTTCAATGTTGTAATTCAAAAAAATATTTTGGAGTATTTGCTTTCAATACTTTTTGTCCCCATTAAAAAGGCCGCAGCCATTCTGGTATGTCGTGTTTTCATTTGCTTTTCTCCAAAGGATGCTGACCTGTTGGATGTTGAGAGCAAACACTTCGAGGACCTGGAATTCCAGCAGCTTGAGCACGAGAGCCGTCTAGACGAGGAAAAGGAGAACCTGACCCAACAGCTCTTGCGTGAAATGGCCGAATATCAACGGAACATTGTTACTAGAAAGGTACTTTTGCCAGGTGTCATTCAATGCAAAAATCATAACATACCCCTCACCATGTGACAATAATCTTCATCAATGTGCCCATCTTTACATCTGAATATATTTGTATATTTAATTACATATCACATTTGACAATTATGGAGCTTGCCATTTATATGCCAAACGCCTTAAATGCTTTAAACTAGATAAATATACATGTTACAGTCATCTAATTTTTTCTTTTATGTCAAAACCAAGGCAGTGAAAATGTGAAATTTAGATCTTTTTTCTAAACTACTGCCTTTTGCAATCATCGTCACTAAATACAGAATAATCGTATGACCAAAGTCTGTTTGGAAACTTTCTCTGTCCGTTGCTCAATAGTTCTCCAAGCTGGCTGGCGGCGCGTCACCCTTAGAAACGGCCCCATGGAATGCCGTGCACATGACTGTCTCCGCCCAGCCCAGAATTCAGCTCTTGTTTCAGAATTTAGAATCACACCCCAGCGCTCTGGACCTAATTGAGGGAAAGGAAGATGGAGAAGGTGTCTTCTTAAGCTCTCAGTTTAAATAAGAAATTCTATTGTTTTTCCAATGAGGCGTCTCCCCAGACAATGTCAAAAATTCATTTAAAGACTAAAACAGGATTTCCTGTTGACTTCTAGGTTCTAAAAATAGATTTTAAACCACTTGAACTGTGTTGGCCTTGGGTAAGGAAAATCCATGAGCTTGGCAGGTCAAAGAAACTGTCTCTGAATGATACTCACTGCCAACCATCAGTGAAGACATGCTCACTGTTGTTCCAGCTGTGAACACCTTTTCTCCTGCTTCCAGAACAGACTGGCAAACCTTTGACTATCTCACGTGTATCTTTTCTATGATCATCTTTGTTTCCTACAGGAAAAAATTTCTGCATTGAAAAAACAAGCCAATCACATTGTCCAGCAGGCTCAGAGAGAACAAGACCACTTTGTGAAAGAAAAGAATAATTTAATAATGATGCTGCAAAGGGTAAGTATTTCCTTTTCAGAGCTGGCTGCAATAAAACACAGACTTCAATTTGGGGAAAGTCATTTTGTTCCAATCAAGTGCCTTTTAATAGTGCACAGTAGATTGTAATTTAAAGAAGACTTTTTAATATATGTTTTTACTTAATCCTCCACATTAATAGGCTGATGTTCTGAGAATGACTAACTATAATTCAGAAAATAAGCAAGGATATTTTCTTTGTGTTTTTTTCACAGTATCAAAATCCCAAGTGTGGAAAATCTGTTTTCTGATTTTTTTGTTTGTTTAAGAAATCATATTTTTCTTTAAATAAGTAAAACATGTTCTGCTCTTTTTATGGCTATCAAACATTTTGACTCAGCTGCTCTGGTGTTTTGAACTCCAGTTCCTTCTGTGGGGGTCTTCCTAGCAAATGCCACCTTGGATTTGGTTTGATTTAATCAGTGAGGTAGATACCTGCATGTGGGTGGCAAGGTCATTCTCACCACAGAGACTGTGTTCACAACCTAGCACCTAAAGCGACTACACGGAAAGGAATTCCTCTGCCCAAACTGCAGCCAGATCTCCTGAAATGGCCATAGTTTACTTTCAGGAATAAGCACCAAAGTTAAAGGTGATGGGGCTAGTCTCCTGACAGAGCCTTGCATGCAGGCCAGTCCTACAAACGACACACTTGAGATCATAAAAATATGAGGTGGACTCAGACTGGTGTGCAGAAAAAAATATACAAATCCAGAATGATGCATTAAAGTATGAGGCTAGACCATGATCCCACGGAGAAGAAGTGTAGCAGGAGTCTTCCCATTTTATCAATTTCTGGTTTGAGAAGAGAGGAAAATTGGTCTTTTATGTAGAATTATGAGTTCAATCAAGGCGCCTCTGTAGCCCACACCGATCAATAGCAGCTCCTCTCCTCTTGCTTCTGTGGTACCTACGAACCTGTGAATGGAGCCAAATTCCCCACTCCTGTCTCTTGCTCCTGGAATGAACCCAGTGCCATTAGCCTCCCCACCACCACTTTACCTTCCACGTGATAGTCAAAGGTACAGGTCGAGTTATATAGTGAACTGGGTAGTGTTTAAGCAGTTTCTGAAATTTTAGCGAAAAGAAAAAAGTTTCTTAGGAATCAATTTTTAAAAATGGGTAAGCGCTGTCACAGAAGTACCATTTTCCTATTAAAATATATAAAATATAATTCTATTGTAAAAAACTGCAGTCCACAAGTATTAAGATTTTAATTTTCTCTAATCTATAGATGCATCTCAATCCCAATAAAAATCCCAACAGACATTCTGTAGAGACTGACAGGTTGTTGCTAAAAGCTAGCTGCTCCTCATCAATTGTGGAATCCATATTTGTGAATTTGCTGCCTCACTCAAATTTATTTGTAACCCCCAAAGTAAGTGCTGTAATTCAGTCATTCATGGACATGCACAGAGCAGAGAAAAGTCTGAGTCACTGGACAAGCACATTCCCTGCTGAGGTTGAGCAAAGCAACCCTCTGCCTTCTTGTTCAGCTCTCATTCTATAAACAAGTGTCCTTTTGGTAGACTATTTAGTGCCATGCTTTCACAGTTTTGTGTTTTTTGGTGGTGATTTTGCCACAGGAAATGGCTTGCAAGCACAATGCTAAAGAACTATCTAATGTCCCAAAGTACAAAAAGGTTATGATGTGCCTCATGGAGAAAATACGTGTGTTAGCTAGGCTTCATTCAGACATCAGTTGTGCTGCTGGCTGTAGGTTCCATGTTAATGAGTCTACAATATATATTAAATAAGGTATCTTTAAACAGAGAGACACATAAAGTTATATACTGATTAATCAGTTGCTGAAAATATGACTAGAAGCTCACAGACACCCAGTGCGGTTGTCCCCCTAGGAACAAGGGTCAGTGTTCACTGATTCAGGGTTCATGGCACCATAATAGAATGTTAAGTACACAGAAAATGAGAATTCTCTGTGTACGAAAATGCAAAGGGTGTTAGGCACGGAGATCAATGGAAGCACACAGGGAGTCTACAAGTACCCACACATACACTGTCTATTAATTTTTGACAAAGGCTCCAAGACAGTCAGTCTAGTAGAGGAAAGTCTCTCCAACTAACGGTGCTTGATCAACTGGGCAAACAAGAAAAAAGCGGAACCTTAACACCATCCATTCTCGCACCATATATGTGAGCTAATTTGAGAGAAATCATAGACCTAAATTTAAAAACTGAAGTGCTGGAGTTTCCAGAAGATATTATAGGAGTGCAGGTCCTCCTTCAGAGCCTTGGGGCAAGGAGACACTTTTTTTAGAAAGGAAGTGACAAATGACTTTATCCATAATAATTTAAAATGTCTATGACTCAATAATATTATATAAACACTCAATAAATATTTTTAAAAGCAGGCAAAAGACTTGAATACAAATACTTCACAAAATATATATATGAAGAGTTATTAAGTCACATGAAAAAGTATTCAACATCATTAGTCATCAGGGAAATCCAAAGTTGACTAAACTTAATGGATTTTGTGTTCCTTCAGGAAAAGGAAAATCTTTGTAATTTGGAAAAGAAATACTCCAGCCTCTCTGGGGGGAAAGGGTTTCCTGTCAATCCAAATGTGCTGAAAGAGGTAAGCTACGATTTTACATGTCTGCTCAGATCACCTTAGACATCAACAGATGTGCCTCAGTTTTATGCAATTAGCTGACTAGACAAAACATTAACTTAAATGTCTTCGGAAAGCACTCATGTGGATGGCTCTTCTGCCTTTCATTATTTAGGCTTTGAGGACTAAAGGATTATCTTTGTGTCTAGTGTGAATGGCCTGTGTGTGTGTGTGTGTGTGTGTGGTGTGCGTACTTTGCTTTACAGTGATATGGTGGGTTCACTTGGGGTTTCAAGAAATTTAGGACCCATAGCAAGATTAATCTTCAATTCTCAATGAGTCTCTTTTCTCCCTGCATTTTCTTTTCCCACTTTCTCCTTGGTTTTACTTTACTTCTGTTTATTCTACATCTTCTAAAACATGAAAATGTCCCTTCACATTTGAGAAGGTAGTCTGGTTTCTGTCTTCTCTCTGTCTCCTCTTTTCTCACAATGTCATTTCTGCTATTTTCCAACTACATTGGGAAATCCCACTGACATTAGGCTGTACATGCTCTTTATCCCAAACATCCATCTTCCCCCAGCCACTGTCACCCCCCCTCCCTAGTATCTTTTTCTAGAGCTAAACTGTTACAATGGTAGACTATTTTAACTAATCTGGAAGACTATGACCTTGACTGGAAAATATTTTCTTTATATTTATTTTTTTCAAAAAGCTAAAGGAAAACTTGTTCTGCATAAAAATTGGTATAATAACAACCCCTTTATTTATAAACTGCTTTTAAAAAATCAGAGTTAAAAATTCCTACACAGAAATTTTTTTGTGTGTGTATAGGCATGTAAAGTAAGTGTTCATCACATAATAACTGTGCTACTGTGTACGTCAGATGAGTTTTGTGAACTATTTCTATAAAAGCTTTATCAGATCATTCAGTTTAATGGTTTCTCTCCCATTGCTGAGAACACAGAACAGGCGGACTCCACGGACAAGGGGTGGTGGTTTCCCGGGATAAGATAATGTCAGTCAGGTGGTCAGGGGCCTGGGTTTTGAGTCATGTTAAAGAAACATGATTTCCTTTATGTAGATGTGAAGCCCTGGAGTGGTTTTAAGGTTGGAGGTCACATTCTTTGAGGTCCATTTGTTAGAGATCACTCTGGGCAGCTCTGCTTGGATTATGAACAGGAGGAGGAGATGCCAGGAAACCAGTGTGGCAGTGATTTCAATTGTATTGGCTAGAGCTGCTGGCGGCTGGCATCCGAGCAGTGGCACGGAGATGGAGAGAATCGGCTGGGTGCAGATATATCTTGGAACCAGAGTTGACAGACAGTTCTTGGTGATAGACTGGGTGGAGATGAAGTAAATTACAGAAGGTGTCAGGGGTGATGCCATTATCCCGGTTCAGATAATGAGGTGGATCGTGAGTACCTTTCCCTGAGATTGGGGGCACTGGGGTAAGAATCGGTTAAAGAGCATTTGACGCAGGACACACTGAGTTTGAAGGGCTTATGGATGGCATCTAAATGAGTTAAATAGGCTTCAGGGTTTAGTAGAAGAATAAAATCTTTCCTTTTCAATTAATGAGTTCTTCTTTCTCTCTGCAGACTTCCTGGTGTGGAAAGGCCATTTGGCTTTTTGATTATTTTTGTGTGTCCCTATGTGTTCTCTTTCATGGGCCAAACCACCTTGACTCACAAGATGTTTGATTGTCTCTCTTCCTTTCCATATTTCTTTCTTTCTGACTCTCGCTCTTTTATTTTTTTCTCTCTTTGTTTTTTAAGGAGTGGTGAATTTCTAACTCTTTTAAACAAGTGCCGCTTTTGATAAATGACATATATTTTTTCAGTAATTCATTGGGTTGTATGGTCTGTGACTCATATAAGGAATGAAATCTTGATTTTGAAACATTCTACAATCAACTGAGTAAAAGAATCACTCAGAGTTGCTACTCTTCATTCTGATTTGTTATCAAAGAAGAAATGAAATCTGACAACCCGGTTGTTTGCTCCCTTTCTTCAATTTAATCTTATAAATCTTTACATAGTATCCATTGCATGCTTTTTTGTTAAAAAATATAATTTATGTATATATACACCCCAGACAGGAATTAACAAAGTAGTATACTGTACTAGTTAATGTCTACAGAGTTAGCATTTCAAGTCAAAGGAGTATTGATACACAATTTTTATCTTCTTAAATATTCTTTGCATTTTCTAAATTTTCTTTTTTTAAAGATTTTTATTTATTTATCTTTAGAAGGGAAGGAGAGAGGGAGAGAAATATCAATGTATGGTTGCCTCTTGTGTGTCCCCTGCTGGGAACTGGCCTGCAACCCAGACACATGCCCTGACTGGAAATCGAACCTCGATCCTTTGGTTCGCAGGCCCGCGCTCAGTCCACTGAGCTACACCAGCCAGGGCTACATTTTCTAAATTTTCTGTAATGTACTTGTATTATCTTTATAAGAAAATAATATTACTTTTAAAAACAACCCATAGGCTCCTAAAGACTATGTCCCAAATGTTTATACTTATTAATTGTCATCTTTACTGTCAAAAGAAGGGAGGGTACCATTTTTTATTTGCTTTTGTGAGTTCTTTTTAACTGAGTCCAGCTTATTTATTTCATCTTCATTTGTCTTTTTCTCTTTTGAACTTGCTGTTAAACCTGAGTATCTTTCATTTGGGGAACATTTGACTGGTTTTAATGCATGATTCTTCCATCAGCCAAAGCTCGTTCTTGATTTGCTTTGGTGGCCTTTATTTCTGCTTAATTTTTATGACTTCCTGAGCTGACAGGTCTCCCTTTTTTAAAACCACCACTTGAGGCTGTTCATCTTCTTTGTCACTGTGGTCACCATCTTTGTCTGGGAGCTGAGGCTGGATTCTCTTGGTCTCCATGGTGGGCCTTTCCCTGTAGGTGACCCATTCCTTGAAGCGGGCCAGCAATGCTGGCTGGGCTGGGCGCACATGAGACTGGGTGGGCCAGCAACGCCAGCTGGGCTGCGCTGTTTGCTCCTCGTTGCACTCTGATACCTCCAATTTATAAACAGACAATTTCAGCTTTCTCCACTTTGTCATAATTATAAATTATTCTAAGTAAAAACTGTGTTTTCCAGCCTGGGATTTTTGTCTTATCAGCATAACGACATCTTGCCTTTCTCTGAGCCATTTTTAGAAAAGATTGATGGGCTAATAGAAGACCCTACTTGTTAAATTTAACACTTTTGCTTTTGAAAGAGATATTATTTTATACTCTTTATTCTTTTTTCATACTGTTTTATTGGTACAGAGGAAATCATTGGTTTGTACCATTGCTTTTCATGAAAATATACAAGTGCCATTTCCTCAAACATAAATTCAGGAGTTTTGAAGATGATATATTTTGATTCATGGATATTTTCTCTTTGCTGAACCCAAAACTGAATCATTGAATTTAAAGTAACTGGAAATTCTCTGTCCTAGGGTTCGCATTGGGCATTGGGGAAGCTGCCTTGAATTGAAACACCCTCAACTTGCAGCTCCACATTAGGGGTGTGTGTGTGTGTGTGTGTGTGTGTGTGTGTGTGTGTGTTTTCATTTGTCTTTCTCTGGAAAGCTCACTGGAGGACAGTGTCATTTTCACTCTCATTTAGTTCAGATGCCTAAAAGCTGGATTCCATTACAAATAAATTACTGCTTTATAAATATCTTAGAGCCAAGACCCATTGTCCTCAGCCCCTTTCACTCACACTTTAATTAAAATGTCAGGAAGCAGAAAAATGAAAAATCTAAAAATAGTGATTTGTGGAAAAGGCTCCTGAATTAGAGAGTGAGTGATTGCATTGTCAATTTTATATCTCAGATTTGTGCGTGTGATTATTCTGATTATTTTAATTCTGTGTAGTGACACTCTCATTCAGTCAACGGAATAAATGCTGATACTTCCCGATATTTTAAAATGGAAGGTGTTGGGTTATTTATGATACAGTCTTCTTGATTCCACTGGAAAACAAATATTTTTAATGTTTGGAATACCACTTTTAATGATTAGGCACTGTCAACCCATTTTGATTGCTGATGGTTACCTGATGAAACACTTGATCATACCACAGATACCTGGCCGCGCCGCTCTACGCTAACTCCATTTTATTAGAGCATTAATACTCTCGCATGCCTCAGCTTTTGCTTCCTTTGTGTTTGACTTCTAAATTCCTCCTTTCAGGGCTATATCAGTGTAAATGAAATTAATGAGCCATGTGGCAATTCCACGAATCTATCCCCTTCCACTCAGTTCCCTGCTGATGCTGACGCTGCTGCCACTACGCCCGCCACAGCTGTACTGGTGAGCCAGCCACAAAATAAAGAGGTGTGTTGGCATGACATTCCATCATCCACTGCTTTCTTCATGTCGGAGATTAACCCTGGGTTACCGAAAATGAGGGCGTTTGTTACAAATATATTGTCTGGTTGATCAGAGAATCAAAGTGATGTTGTGTTTGAAAAATACACCAATTTGGGGCACTGGTCTCCCACTTCTAGTCCTAGAAACCATGGAGTATGTGGCACAGAGTGGACACTGAAATAAGTTCAAAAAATAAACTCTATGTCTAAGTACTCTAACATGATAGTTTTCTTAAATATTAAGTCTTTCTAAAATTGTTGGATTGAGTCATCTTTCCAGTTTGAGGTTTTTTTTTTCTATTATGTTTTGCAGTATGGACCTTTTTAAAATATCTGGAAAAGGGCAAATAATAGTAAATGAAAATACCTTCTACTGATCTAAGTTGCTTGCAGGTTGGGGTTCTAACAAGAGGCTAAGTGGAAAGAGACAGCCAATCATTTGTGGTTTCTTGATTAAAATAGAAGAAAAGAGAATAATCAGATTATTGATTTCATTCCTTTGCCATTATCCTTTCATTTTATATGGACACATGTATACTTTTTCTTTTTCTTATAAAGCAAAGATCACCTGTCTGTCCCGGATTTATGTTTCCTTCTACCCTTTCTCCTCATCCTGTCACTCAGCCTCCATCAGCCCCTTGGCCTGAAGCCATGGCTCCATCTGTCGATCCTTTCCCTTTAAATGACACTCCTCCTCCTCTACCAGCTAAGAAACACAGGAGGCAGCCGCAGCAGGAGCAGCAGGTAATTAGCCACTGGTGTGCAGAGTCTGGGAATCTTTTCTTCAACTTTTCCAAAGAAGTTCTTTAAAAAAGACAGGATGCCTCCTCCTTTGCTGGTTTTCTTATTAAAGGACACTTAGCACGTTCTAAGGGTTCTGGGAGTGACATAAAGTGTGAGAGCTTGGCTGCCTGCTCCTAACTTGATATGTTTGAGCTAGTTTTATATGCTCACACTTCCGTTTCCACTCAATCAAAATACTGCAACTTATCTCAGATAGTTTTCAAGATAGTAATAATTACTGCCATAAAATCCATGGTATAAAAATTTGTGTCAACACAAATTTTTCACACATTATTTAAATCATGATAATAGACATCATTCCCTTGCCATGTGTCAAAATTTGCTAAATGTTTTACAGATAAAATCTCATGTCTTCTGACAATCCTGTGAAGTGAACTTCACTCCACGTTGCCATTTAGGGAACTGAGGCTCAGTGCAGGTAGCTTGTCCATGGTCACCCCGGAAGTCATGCTTTCGATCCCTAGAACAGCAGTTTATACTGACCAGATGTTTAAAAAATGGTTTATTATTCTCGGTGTTGTCTTCCTTTTAATACAGTTAGTGCATATTCATGCTTGGGTATTCAAAAAATCTGTTTTGAGCCTCCTTTCAATCATAATTTAATTCCTATGTGAATTTGGCTCCGGAAGACCTGAAGGAGTCGGAGACAGTAGTTCCCAAGGTAGACAGCTCTTGCTGTGCTGTGCCCAGCCCTTACACTTCTTGAAGGTGCCTTTACGACTCTTACCTTTTGTTAAAGGACTATATGTACCCACTACTTTTAGGTTAATAAATATTAGCTAATAAAGTTGATAAAGCGAAAGTTAAAATGCAGATATTTTTCATGATTGGCATGTGTGGAGGATAATAAAAACGTTGGTCACTCAAATTTGCATTAATTTTTACATATTTCAAAAGCCCTAGCTTAGTATGAAAATAACCAAACTTTAAAGAAACTTGAGTTAGGAAATAACTTTACTATTGAAGGCATTTTTTCTTTTGAGAGGCCAAGAAACATTTGGATAAATTTTAAGTTAGCAAAAAAATTGCCTTGGGAATCTGAAAAAAAAAAAGAAATAGTCAACAGGAGGACTTTTTAATGTTCAGAATGACTATGGGGGCTTCTTGGCCAAGATCTTTTTAAAATAAAAGAGGAGCCTGGAAGAATGCCTTATGTGCAAACGTTATGTCCATTTGGAGTGTGTTTATGTGCCTGAAATATTCTTCCGACTTTGAAACAACTCCCCTGTTTACTCGCTCTTTCTCTTCACCTTCTCCCTCCTCCCTTTTCTTGTCCTCCTCACACTGGGATCTGTGCCACCACACAGCACTGTCCAGACCAGACAAGGGGAGACACTGCTTACTTGATTTGTCCACTGGCTGTTCCGCCATCCACATGGCGACCATCATAATAATTTGTAAGTTGTCCTGAGGCCCCCAAGGCAGCAGGCACTCATTACGAGGGTGAAAGGTAGATTATTTTCTTTTGTTTCTAGGTTCAGTAATAAATTCTCCCAGTGCCTATGTATCTTACCAACTGCGAGCTAGCCCAAGTCTCTTAGTGAACACAAGCATAAGCTGAATTTAAAGGAAAAAATCTGTTGAAGTTCCCAAACTTCTTTGTGAATGCATACTTCTTAATTTCTTCTGTGACCTGTTTCAATTAGTCAAGTTTTGCTATTCTGCTTTACATTTGCGTTTAAAGCACTTTAGAAGTCTGGAAGAGAGGAAAAAACAGCACAAAGAAGGCCTCTATCTGAGTGACACTTTGCCTCGAAAGAAAACCACACCTTCCATATCCCCACATTTCAGCAATGCTACTCTGGGGAGAAGCACCGCCCCAAAGGTAGGCCACGGGGACAACCACAGGCTCCACATTCAGGGAGTCTTCTCGTCATTGTGTTCATTGATGTGCAAAGGTCTTTAAAGAAAATGCTAAATAATAAACCAGTGAGTTTGCTTGTTGGGCAGACATTATGACTAAATTGCATTTTCTTTCTTATTCAGAAGACATTTGGAATTGTACACTCTGCGACCAAGAACCTGGTCCAGGGTAATCACCACACAAGGGGCAGGTGGCATTCATGTGGCACACTCCCATGGCTGTGTCCCAGGTCTGGAAATTGGAAGATATAAGCTCTAGCTGACAGGAGTAATAGCACCATTTCTGAACCCGACATTGGGCTAAGCGCTTTATGTGGATTGTCTCATTTTAAAAACCAGCAACACTATTCAGTACTAATTGTAATCCCCACTGTACATATGGATAAACTGAGGTATAAAGAAGCTAAGTGACTAGCCAAGTGCCCTCAGCTGGTCAGCCACGAAGCTGGAATATGAACCCATGGGGTCTGACGCCTAAAACCTCATTCATGTTCTGCTGACATGCCAGAGGGGTCATTGCAGGAAGAGGAGGAAGGCAAGTGAGAAGGAGGTTCTGAGGGGGACAGGCTGTGGGGCCCTTCCTTTGACCTTTATCAGAGTAACATTTTTATCTATTTTCTAAATTGGTGTTCCAAGTATATTTTACATAAAGGATTTTGCTATTAAAGAGAATGCCAAAACCGCTAGGGGAGTTCATAGTCTTCTCCAGCATTCAGGCTACTAGATAGCTGGGGACGGATGGGAATTGGTGCCCTTGGTACAGGGTAGGTCCTCTGTGTTCCAGTGCATGCTGTGCATGTATTCCTGCCCTGCATCTGCCCTCTGCTCCTTATGCATGAAGAGCTTTGAGTTGTTTTCTAAGGGGGTTTTGGAGAACAGGTCTTTTCTTCATCTTTTGGAATTGCTGCTGCTGGCAGAATCTCTGTGATGTGGAGACTTCCATGGAGCTCCTTGGGAGGAACAGCGACTGTCTTTTACCGTGGAGCATCCGTAATGGGATGGAAGACCTCCCTCCCCTTCCCTCTGCACTCAGATAGGAGCTGTGGAATCAGGGCTGTTATGTCCTGAAGGACCACTTGAGCTGCAGGTTGCTTCAAGTGTTTCTGCCCCGCCCCCCATTCTCACAGGCTCACTTGCCCCTGGGACAGAGCAACAGCTGTGGCAGTGTGCTCCCTCACTCGCTGGCGACCATGACCAAAGACTCTGAGTCTCGGAGGATGCTGAGAGGTATGTAGCTTTAAAAGCAAATGTGATGTCTTTTGTTAAGCACTAGAATTTTTCAGAGGCAGAGGAAAGGAGGACAAGGTTGAGGCTCATTGGAAAGGGCATCAAGGAAAGTCCTCAATTTTACTCTTAACCTGTCCCCTTTGTGAGAGGGGTGTACTGGATGGGACAAACATAAGTTTGTGGTTGTGAGCATGCAAAACACAGAGTTTATCCTTGTATTATTATTTAGTAATTATTATTTCCCATATGAACAACTATAAACCTATTGTTGCCCCTACCCTATATATAGACATATATTGTTCAAGTGGTACAAAGGTAACTTTTCCTATATATGCCTATGACTGGTATGCATAAATTTAATAGTATTCTCAAACCAGAAAGGCCTCTAGAGAATTACTAACTTCTCCATTTTATAGAAAAAAAGAAAAGAATGACCGTTGAGATCCTAAGTCACTCACCTGGTTGGTGGCTGAGTCACTGTGTTGACCCATGTGCTACAGATTCATTGAGCTGACACAGTAAATAGAGCACTAGTGGCCCAGGACAGAAATCTCTTGGGACTTTTAATGTAGTTTGAACCTTTATTCTCTGTGGTTGTTGTGTTTCAGGTAGATTTTGATTCTCAGCATATTTCGTTTCTTTGTAAAAGTACATTGCACGCGTTTGTAATGAGGTTCTCAAATAGTCTTTGTGGGACGAGAAGAAAGTACTGCAATGCAGTTCCCACTGTGAGATTCTTGTTGAAAATATAGATTTATTGTGTTAACATGTTGTTTAGGTCAACAGCTTGTATTGGCCCTCGCTTTTGAACAGGTATGGTGCTAGAGACCAGGAATGCACATGAATGACATGACCCTTTCCCTTGAAATGCTCATAGTCTAGTGAGGGAGAAAGACACGTAACAGGTCATTTTAATGCAATGCGGCAAATGCAGTGATGGAGGCTGACAGAGTGATGGGCATTCGGCCCTCAGATGTATTCATGTGCTAGTGGGATTGAAAGCCTTCCCTCCAAGAAGGCTGCCATTCAGTTCTGACTGGTCAGCCTTTCTGCCAATGGTATCAGGATAATCACTGATTTTTCTACCAGAAAAAAAACCCTAAAATACATATATAAATTCTCATGTTTATATATATGTATGTATATGTAATATGTATATTTATGTATATAACCCCCCTCTCTCTCTATATATATATATATATAAAACTTCAATGAGGTTTTTAGTATTCACTAGAAGTGTTTTAAGAGTTAATATAGGCAAAAAAGAGTTAACAGAGGCTATAGTAGTCATAAGAGAGGTTTGTAATGTGTGGTATGTTTATGTTAACATTTAAATACATTTGATTGAACTTCTCTTTTATTTTCTTTACCATAATTTATTAATGAGCTAAAACAGATCATATGACTTATAAATAATAAACATAAATGGCTCTCATTTTGGCTCTCATTTATCACTGTTCATTTGTGGGTCAAGTCTATTTTTTAATTGAAGCATTTTTCTGCAGTAGTTATAGACTTCTTTTTAAATGTGTTTTTCCCACTGGCTGAAGACATCAAAGCATGGACTGGCCCCAGTACCATACTTTGTGTTCAAAATACTTTCTTAAAATAGTAAGAAAAACTAGACCTTTATACTAACTGGGTAGATTTGTAAAAATCAAGAGCTGTTAATATCATTGTGTAAGATGACTCTTGTGAGAATATGGTAAAACGGAACAGATGTTTGATCTGTAGTTTTACAGTTTAATCTGTTTTCCCCTCAAACAATGGGAATTCACATGCTACATCCCCCCGGGGAAACTGAACTGGTCCTCTAAGATCACATTAGGGATGCGCCCTCTGTGACATCTGTTGTCTTTGATCATTTTGCCCTGGGTCTCCCCCGGTAGGCCTTCTGTGTGCCTGCAAGGCCGCAGCTCCAGCCCTTTCCTTCTGTAGCTCTAAAGTGGTGTTCCTTAAACAGTGTTTGTGGTGCTGGAGAGACGGCTTCTGAGGGAGGAGAGAACTACCGTGTGTATGTGGATCCAACTGGATGCGATGTGTCTCGTGAGGCCAGCCTGCCTCCCTTGGCCCCCCCACCCAGAGGGGGAGGGGTTGGGCTGCAGTTCTTGGGGCCACAGCAGACTGTGTAACTGGCCCATACCGGTGGCCCACCATGACCCGGAGGGTTGAATCATAATTCATTTAGAAGTGTTTCACTTGTTGCCTTCATTAAAACAGCAAGCACAAGTAAAATTCCATGGTTTCAAAAGAAATTGGATCTAGCATATACGTTTTCATGAACTCAAATTTAATAGTCATACCATTTTTGTTGACGTACACAATTAACTTAAATGAACTATTTTTTTGCTGCTTATTCATAATGGACACGTCAAGGACCATGGTGTAAGTAAGTATAAGCTTTCCTTCAGTCGGCATTGCTTGAATGGAATCGACAATGTGAATCACGCAGACGATCCCAGAAAGCGGAGTTGAAAACAGAGAGCCCAGGAACTGAGCTCTTAAAGTTGTAATGGTTATTGGCTTTTGTACAACTTTGAACTATTGCTTTGTAAGCTTTAGAATGAATGAAATCTTTGTCCTTTTGTCTTCCGTTTAATGCAGGAAAGTCCAAGAAAGGTATGACAACCTCCTTGTGTGGTGTCTTTGTTTCCAGCGCGTAGTGAAAGGTCATTGTTAAGTCATCTTTAAGAAATGGTCAGCTTTAAAGCTGTACAATTGGCAGACTTTTAGTGTAAGGATTATATTCCTTTTACACAATAGAGAAACAATGTTGCACGTTCACTGGGTGCAGCTGCTGTTCACTCACAGGCAGCTGCACGACCCTCTTTGTTTTGCTTTTTTGTGATGAGGTCAGACCGTGCAGGAAACATGAATACTCGGAATCTACCTAAAGAAAAGAGTGGGCCTTGTGGTGTAGATAGGCTAAGTGTAAAACAGGAAGTTACTCCTTTATAAAAGGCCAGGTACAATAAAGCAGGCTACCTGGGAGGATGGGAGGACTTAAAAGGTTCCTACTTAATCATGCCATTTAAGACTATATATATGACAGACTGGATGGAGCGTGAAGAACAGTTGAAATGGCTGGCCTGAATAAATAAGATGTTATTACCGTGGCTAGCTGGTAGAAATGTAGGCTGTTAGAGGACAGTTATGAAATTTGATGGAAGCTGCTTCAAATAATTGAATGGTATTTTATAAACCTTAGCTCTTAAAAACAGTGTGTTACTGTCTGCATGAAAAAGAAGAACTGTTTTATAGATATAATCTTGTTTTTCTTCTCCCTGTTTTCTGGTTGACCGGTGTGTGCAAAAGACTTTTTCCCCTTAACAAATCTTTTTTGACTGTGTGCATGTATCATAAGCTCATTTTTTTAACTTCTTGAATTCTTCTCTATAAACTCAGATTTAATCTAAAAATGTGCACATCTTGCCTTGTCAACCTGGTATCTATCGTTACTAACACCGCCAATGACTGCATGTTGGGAGTGTATATTTTTCCCGTCCCCCCAATCATCCTTTTTGATCTTGTCTCTTCTTCCCTTTTCCTGTGATTCTCTTCACTTCTGACTTGTCCTGTCCTTCACCTTCCGGCTGTGGAACACGGTTAGGAAGAATGAATTTCCCAGCAGGTGAGCGATGAAAGGTTGAAATGCAAGAAATACTGACTGATTTTATCCTCTTAAGCCCAGCTTATACTTTTAAGTCATTTCATTTTCTATACTAAGGTCTAGATAGTAGTTGAAAGTGTATTCCACACATTCGGAAGATGCATATCTCACAATGGTCACCTCACACAGCACTTCTCAGGTCCCATTAGACAGAAGTCACAGAGACTGGCATTGAAGAGAGTAGCAGTAAGTGGACCTGGTACATGCAAAATACTAGCTCTTCTTGGGCAGCGAAGAGACTTGGTTTGTTTGGGTTCCTTGCATGTGTTATGCTTAGGAACTAGCCTCAGATATTATCAGGTCTCCCTGTGTAAACCTTGTAAGATACCCTTTCAATTAGTTGTTTCTGTCTGGATAGGGAGGATCTGAAGCATGTACAAGACCCTTTTTATTGTGCTTTTCAGTTGCTGTCCACAGCTGAATGTTATTCTTGCTGCATAACTTAAAAGCAACACAAGCAGTCTCAGAGGCTGGGAAAATATCATATTTCCCAATCCACTGATTTTGTCCCCCCCCAACAGTAAATGCATTCCACTTTCTTATTTAGCCACCAATTCGTTTGCCGTTTGTAGATGGGAAATGAATTCATCAAGCGACTCTTCATTTCATGACATCCATATGCTAAATAAATGGGGATTCTGTGATGAACAGCACAGGTGTGCCTTGATAAAGCACACCTGTTCTGTGCTACTTCACTGCTCCAGAGCTTCTCCTGGGGCCTCCTACCAGGTACCTTCCTTCTCCTGCTCACCTATGGTGTGTCCTCCATCGAAAGTACCTAGACTTTTGAATGGCCAGGCCAGGGGCTGAATCCCCAAACCAGCCCTTTGGAATCCCACTTGTACAATTCCAGAGGAGAGCCCCATGCCCTTATTTGTAACTGAAGGGGCAACTTGTTTGGGGGGGAAAATTGTTCAGGAGGGAGGAGGTTAAGCCAGGTGACAGTTGAGTTCATTGTACTCAGTAAAGGGTTGCCAGTGGGAGAAATGCGAAGCTCCGTAAGGTAGAACATTTCCATATCACTTTGGATCCACAGGAAATAAAAACCCTGCATTGTGAAATGTTTGCTTATTAGCAGCAGGCTTGTTCATTTAAGCTGCCGTAAAAACTAAGGCTTATTTTACCACCGGAATGATGGAAGGGTCTCTGAGACGTAGAGCCAAACCGCAAGGAGTAGTGAGGGGCTGTGGGGAATCTATGCGCACACTCCTTAGTCCCGCACACCGTCACACTGCTCTTCCTCGTGCCCGCATCTCAGCATTCTGAGTCATTTTAATGTACTGTCTGCTCACCTGAGGTGGTAAGTTCATTTTCTTATTCTGTGATACTTAGAGGTGAGGGGGAGGAAATCCTGGAAGATCCGAGGAGCAGGGCGTGCATTGTTTTAAGGAGAAATAGACTTACCTTCTTCCCTGCTTTTCTAAGGAAGCATTAGTTGCCTTGGAGGGGGTGACTTTTGCCCATTACGGAAAACTGCAGATGAAGGGGAGGTAGTGGCAGGGCCCATGTCACTGCCAAGCGGATGACCCTTGTATGTTTTACATGACATGGTTGTCTTTTCGGGATTTAGTTTTTATACGAACACAAAGAAACGTCATCCATGCAGTTGGTGACAATGTGGAAGTTTTCTTTGCTAATAAACCTGTTTTGAAAGTGTAAGGCAAGATAACATTTATGATCTTTTTGAATCATTTCTGGTGGGTTTTTTTGTCCCCCTCCTTTTCATTATGAATAATTGGAAACAATTTCAAAGGAGCAGTCAGTAATTCAAAAAGTTCAAATATCAAAGGTAAATAATTGAGTAGTGAATTAGTTTGCCTTTGTTTTTCCTAATAAAAGCACACGATCCATGCGTATGTCCATACTGGCTTCATTTTATGCTTTATGCATTGATCACTGCAATTAATGATAATCTGCTTAATGTCTCCTGGAGTGCATCTTCCCTCAGCTAAGTGATATGTAGCTTTTACATATGTGCATGTGTCTGTGTTGGTATTTATAATTACACTTTGTATTAAGGAAACTTACTTTCCCAAAAGATGTCTTAATCTGAACTCACATATTTTCACTTAGCTAAAACTGCTTCAGATACTAATGCATGAAAACTCCTCATAGAACTAGAATCACTTCACAGTAACTTTGGTGGTATGATGCTTTGCATCATGGATGTGGCTTCTGGTTTTGATCAGAAATGTTTAACCCACAGCACAGGAAACTGTCTGGAATCACTCACCTTCTCTCACCCTCTTGCCTGCGTTTTGGTCATTTCATGGCCAATTAAAAGCCTCACTGAAAGATGGGCAGAGAGCACAAGAAAAGAAGCAAAATTCAAATGGCCCAATTGTAAACTTTTAGTTAGACAGTCAGTTTACTCAGGGAGAAAGAGATGATGCAAACTACAGTCCTGGCTAGCACAAATCTTTTAAATGAAGTGAAGAATTTGTTTATCAGTATGTTCCCTGCTTCCTGAGTGTATGAAATACAGGGAACTGAAAGGAAAAAAATAGCTTGACTCACAATGCCCAAAATCAGCTACCTGAGAGAAAGCCATAGCAATAACCAATGACCTAATGTGCAGCGGACCGAGTACCAGGGTAAGAAAAACACCCCTTAGTAATGGCACTTTTGCTGCCATTGTATTTTAACAGTTCCTACAGTGTCATGCAGTTGATATCATCAACTAGCAAAGGGCTGACAGTTAAGTGGAAAAAGAAGACATCTGTATAAGCAGGTCCTCGGGTAATGTCTTGTGGTTATAACATTGGTGAGATGCCGTAGAAACGTAACTTGTTTACGTCAGTTAGCCTTTGGTAAAAACTGGTTTTCTTATGCTCATTTCACCACAGTTCCAAGAACCTGCCGATGATGTTAGGACTTACTGTGTATACAGTAATTAGGAGTACAGTCATTGAAAGAATTATTGCCTCTGAATGTTTTAAGTAAGTTTTTTGGCAGATAAGGAAATTGAAAAAAAAGGATGAGAAAAATGTGCAGTTTGGCTCTTACCCAGATCACAAGTGTTAGTGATGATGAGTGAGTGACAAGTTCCTCAAATCCCTACCCCGAGGTGATCCCCTTGCTCCTTCTGGCCTGACCTAGGAGGCCTTTTGCCTGGACTTGAACCCAGCGATTTGGGGAGGAACTAGGGCCTGCACTTGAGTTTCTGTTTTGGTTTTCCTCTGTCTCTGTGTGTGCTGGCGCGTCGCTCCGCATTGTGCAGAGCTGTGGGCCTGGTACAGGAAAGTGTCAACTGATCTGCTGGCAAAAGAAGATCACTCGCGAGAGCACTTTGAAATTCTTGCTTGCACCGAGCATGATGCTGTTTCTTTGATCTTCTTGGCTTCAAAACAAACTAGACCAAGGGCCAAGTTTCATAGGCAGATGTTTTGGGTTGCTGGTTTGAGTCTTATAAGATCTAACACTGAAAAATGAGGCAGAGTAACTTATTTATGGCTCTTTCCTTAGGGTATAATCACCAACAGATGAGTGAAGGACAAAGGCAGAAATCTTCCGAATTTTACAACCGCACAGCGTCGGAATCAAATGTCTACTTGAACAGTTTCCACTACCCAGATCACGGCTACAAGGACCAGGCCTTCGATACTCTGAGCCTAGACAGCTCTGATAGCATGGAGACCAGCATCTCTGCTTGCTCTCCTGACAATATTTCCAGGTAAGATTTATGTGTAGGTAAGGTTTCTGGTTTTGAGAAGTACCTGCTGGTTTCAGAAAGTAAGGACATCAATTTGGGTAATGTACGTGTACATGGACAAGCCCAGATTTCTGTGCATAAAGAGTTTGTAGTGCAGAAGAAGGCTGGGTGTGATGGTGGCCTTTCAAATAATTGCTTTGTACCCTGTGTGACTTAGCTAGTCAGGCGCCATATAATTCACCTTTCTCCTTTATTACATTAGAGTGTACACGCATACTGTGCTTTGAACTCGTTTTGCTTCTGTCAGTTGACTCCTAGCTTCATTAGGACCATTTTTAAAAATTTTTTTAAAGATTTTATTTATCTTTTAGACAGAGGGGGAGGGAAGAAAGGGAGAGAAACATCAATGTCTGGTTGCCCCTCATGTGTCCCCAACTGGGGACCTGGCCTGCAACCCAGGCATGTGCCCTGACTGGGAATTGAACTGGCAACCCTTTGGTTTGCAGGCCCGTGCTCAATCCACTGAGTTACACCAGCCAGGTGAAGGATCATTTTTGATTAAATGAAAAATAATTTCGCCCTGACTTGTGTGGCTCAGTTCGCTGGGTGTCGTCTGCAAAGTGAAAGGTCATGGGTTTAATTCTTGCTCAGGGCACAGGGTCCGTGTCTGGGTTGTGGGTTCAGTCCCTGAGAAGCAACCGATCCATGTCTCCCTCTCACATCAATGCCTCTCTCACTCCTCTCCCCCTCTCTAAAAATAAATAAAATAAAAAATCTTTTTTTTAAAATTTCCAACAACAGAGTATGAACTTTGAAGGATTTCTTACCCTTGTATTTCATTAAAAGGGAGGCTTTACCTGTTCTGCATATTAAAATTTTTGTAAGCATTTAACCATTGACATTTGTTTTCCTACTTTGAGACAAGCAAAGATGTTTTATGGAATTATGGCTAAACGCACACCTAAAACATAGATCTAGTCACGGTACCCGCTTCTCTTCAAAAGCTTTGATGACATTTGAATACAGTCAGACCCCAGAACGTGGCAGTCTAGATTCAGCCAAACTCCCCAGTCATTCTCTCCTCCTGGTACCTCTTGCAGAACTTCTTATTAATTGACAAGGTGAAGGCTTCTCAGGTTTTTGTGCCTTTGACCGTATGGGTCCTCGTCCTGGAATTGTATAGTTTGTTTATTCATTCCTTTATAGGCCCCTTCATTCCGCAAACACACACAGATTGCTGTACAGTCAGTGGTGGGCTGGAGTCGGCTCACACTGGCTGGCACGTGTGAAATGTGCACTTTCTCCCCTGACTCTGTGGTCAGCGATGTCATGTCAGTAGTATGAGATCAGCCATGGTGAGAGTGTATTTCACCCATTAATCAACAATTGCCATGCATCAGGGGTTTTTGTTTTTCTCCAGAGAACTGGTTTACCAGCACACCACTGTCTGTGGTTGGTTCATGTTTTCATGTGTTAATCACTCAACCTGTACTTACTGAGCACGGATCTTGCCTGGCGTTGCAAAATATCTACTCCATTCCCATTGCCCCGTCCCATCTAAACCTGGGGAAATTCTCCTCATCCTTCAAGTTCAAACTTAAGTTGTAAACTCACGGAAATTTTTTCCTTCATGGCTTTCTCTTCTGTGTTTTCATTGCACTAGATAATTTTTTTCTATTATATCACTGATCTCATTGCAGTATAAGGTGTTTTCTTCAGTAATTAATTGGTGAATTCCTCGACTTCAAGGGAGATGTCTAATCATCTTTCATTTTCCACACCCAGTAGAGATATTGACAGATATTGAATACCCAGTAAGTATTCAATAACTGTTGGCTTACCCTGGCTGGTGTGGCTCAGTAGACTGAGTGCCAGCCTGGGAACCAAAGGGTCACTGGTTTGATTCCCAGTCACAACACATGCCTGGATTGTGGGCCAGGTCCCTGTTTGGGGGTGTGCGAGAGGCAACCACACAGTGATCTTTCTCTCTGTCTTTTTCTCCCTCCCACCCCCCTCTGTCTAAAAATAAATAAATAAAATCTTTTTTAAAAGTTCCATACTTTAAAATAAATAAATAAGTGTTGGCTAAATAAATGCCTCAGGATATAGTAAGATGAACATATTTTTAATTTTGATATTTATCAGTTTGGATTATTTAATTGGCTGAGAACCATGTTGATTTTAAACCCTCTAAAATATCCAATATTCAGTCAATGTCAGTTGGTCACTTGTGTGTCTCAAAAGAAAATGTCTGGTTGGATAATTGCCGTCAAACTTTCCTATGTTGGAACGAGGCCTCCGGCTGGGAGACCTGCGCTGCTCCGCACGAGTCTCCGACCTCTCTCGGCCCGACTGTTACTCTGTGAAATGGAGGGATTCTTTTTTGAAAATAAAGGGGTGTTGGATTTTTAAATATCTTGATAGAACATTTCTATTATCTAAATGTAATTTCTTTTCTTACAAAGGTCTCAATAATTATCCCCCCACCCTGCAAAAAAATAAAATTAAAAAGGGTAACAGAGTGGATTGAGCATGGGCCTGTGAACCAAAGTATCAAGGTTCGATTCCCAGTCAGGGCACATGCCTGGCTTGCAGGCCAGTTCCCAGCAGGGGGCACATGAGAGGCAACCACACATCGATGTTTCTCTCCCTCTCTCCTTCCCTTCCCCTCTAAAGATAAATAAATAAAATCTTTAAAAAAATAAGAGTGACAGAGGCAGAGGGAAAGTAACATTAGCAAGTTATACTTAGCTTTTGGGTTAGTTTTAGTTAGTATTTCTTTAATGAAAAGAATATGAGAGACTCAAATGTAACCAGCCATTAGAGCCAGGAAATCTGGGAGGAGGGGAAAAAGAAAAGGATAGATACTACCTTCTGTGGTAAGTACAGTACAGTGTATTTTAATTCAGGCATTAACGGGTGAAATGTTAATATTACTGGATATATTCCATTGAAGTTCCTGGAAAAAAACACAAAGCAACCATACAACTGTAGTTTTGCTTGTCACATGGAAATGACCAAAATTTAAGGAGGGAGTTATGTAATAATAATAATAATGAATAAAGATGCTATTTTTGCTGCCATCATTAGTTAATGTAAGAAGCGTTAGTATTTCACTTTATTCCATATTAGGAGATGCAGCATCTCACGAATAAAAAATGTAACATGACCATTGGGAGAAGACACTTGGGTGTGTGGAACAGTTGGGCACCCAACCGTCTGTCACCCACCAGGTGCTCAGGTGGTGCCTGCTGTCCCGCCGAGGCCGCTGGGGACACGCCAGTGGGCCTGCAGCTAAGGTTCTCAGGACAGAAATCCTAGAACTTTGAGTAGTTATTCATCAATGATCGGTGTCCAATGTAAACTGACCAATTTGGTATGGTATTTTTGAATAACAGGACACAAACAAAAGTCAGAAACTCAGCAACTGTTACATAATGATGATGGGGGGATAAAAGTTGGATGCTAACAGAGAGACTGCAAAATGCAGCAATTTAGTTTTCCAGCGTAGTTATCGCAGATGGACCTCCCTCATGTCTTTGGCACTTTTGTACTTAGTTGTTATTTTGAAAACATCAAACTACTGTCCCGTCTTTCCTAATAATCGTGAATATGTTATAACAATATTCCCGTGGTGAACTCTTGATAGCTTGACCTTTTTCATTCCTTTTTCTTTTTGAGCCATTTTAACAAATAAATACACTCTAAGGTTTTTCCTGTCTTAATGGCTTTTCTTCCGTTTCTCGCGCCCCACTTCTTTTCCAAAGTTAAAAGTTCATGTGCATCTTCCCAAATCCTCACTCCTCACACTCCATCTCTCACATTTAATGCTGGTAAACAAGAACAGTGCAGCAGTGACTACTGGAAATGACCTAGACAGGGGCCGCTTTGATTATATTGACCAAGCCTTAGAAGTTCAGATCTGAACACTTAATTACAGTGCCTGGCAAAAATTTAATTTATTTTTAGTTGCTCATTCAGTTGCTTTTTCTTAGAATGCTGTCTAAGGGCAGGAAATAAGAATGTTTCCATTGAACATGCTACATTTAGAAAGCAGCATTATTGGGGTGGTCACTCTTGGCAGGTATGATAGTTAGATGTGGCCACAGTCACTTCACACAGAACTTGTTAGGGTGGTCGGTGACTTGGGCTTTGAAGGAATTCACAAAGAGAATAAAGTATAGACAGTAAAGACTTTATTCACTCTCCAAGAAAGGAGAGGGGCATGGTGTGCAGAGATACACCAACATTGATGGGTGGGGTCTTTGAGCTTTTATTGAATTATGATTGGATTATAAAAGGGGGGTTGCTGTTGGGAGGCCCCAGGCTGTTGGGGGCATCATAATTGAAGGCTGCAGTTTGTTCCAATGTTATCTTCTGCCTGTGGCTGTAGGGCGCGGTTAGTCACCTTCAGTTCTTGCTTTCCAGTGATTTCCAGTCCTGGGGACAAGCTCAGAGGAGTAAAATGGCAGTTGTGTTCAACAAGGTCACATGTCTGCTCAGCAAATGGTGCCATGATAGCAGATGGGGCTGGCTTTCCCCTTTCAGAGCTGACCTGGTGGTGCTAGCAATTGTGGATAACCAATCACCACAGTCAGAAACTACTAACAGCATTTATTTAACTTTGCTGTCAGATCCTAAGAAGTTCAAAAACTTGAAGCCAAAGTAAAAGATGCCTGTTAATGGTCTAATATAAAAAAAGGAAAAGAGAAAAGCAAGCATTTCTCCTCTGTGCCACCATGTACATTTAAAAAATTGCATGCTACCCTAAAATAAACTTATATCCATAATTGTGATGGAAAATAAATGGTAAATATCAGGTAAGTGGAGTAATAGGAACTAATGTTTGGAATGTTCATTATGACAGCACATTATTATTTTTTTTATTTTATTGTATTTTTTCCATCACCATTTAGCTTCTGTATACCCTCCTCCTCGTGAACATAGGTGCTTATGTTCTTTTGAATTCATGTTTTGGGTTTCTTCAGATATATTCACAACAGTGGTATTGTTGGATCAAG